CCAATGTCCATGCGATATTGCAGAGTCGCGTGAGCCAACACAATCCTACAACATCCAGAGCCTGAAGGAACCTCGGGCGGATCTCATCCACCCGGAGATAAAAACAAACAAAACTAAAACTAGACCTAAAACTATAACATAAATAGCTTGTTATATATTACATATAAGTTATATTACAGTTCTTTGCTATCATTTTGCAATAATTTTTGACTTGATGTTGAACCCATTTCTGCTGTTTTTATAACTTATTTTGACATTAGTTGCTATAAAAATGTTCCTTTACAAATAAAGAAATGCGAGCGGTTTGACTTGAAACAGGCTCGTWAGTTTCTGTCCGGACTTAAATGGTGTGATTCTGGCAGCAGTGCTGGCCTCGTTACCAAAAAAGCTCCCGTTTGACCTTTTCTGTAGCTGACAATAAAAGATCACGAGAGGCAGAAAATACAAATCTGTCAGACGAGATGCTGTTTTAGGCTGTGGGTTTGTGAGATGGACACACACTGTTCGGGTTGTAAGAGACTGACCTTTACTGTTCTGTCATGACTCATTCTCACTAGGTGAATGCACATTCATGTGCAAATTCATGTGCACAATCATGTGCATGTGTGTGTGCATGAGTGTTTTAGTTTTAWATGATAAAACCAACATCATGACTCTGCTAACATTAAGAACCGTGTGTCATTTTAATAAATAGTCACATATGTTGTATCAAATACAGATTTTTAAATCCATTCATCACACGAGGAATGACTGAACTGTAAATTCCTTTTGTCTTCTTTTTCACCTCATGTCGCACTCTTTTGCACGCTCATTTGTCTGCTAGTCATTTTGTAATTTTACTTCCATTAGCATTTGTGTTTGAATCAGTGCAGAAACTGTGGTAGCAGGTGCAGCGTGTGTCTGTGTGTGTCTGTGTGCGTGCGGTAAACTCTGCACTTCCATTCGATCCAAACACTCAGTCCTCCTGCTTTGTTCCAGACGCTGCAGCTCACGTGTTCATCGTGTCAGTGTTTGATGTTTCTCCATCAGATTTCTCACTGAGCTGAGTAAAAGACTAAAAATCACTGACTCGTGAATTGACGAGGTGTCAGAAACTCACGTGTGCAGTGTGATGTGATGCTTCCAACACGATGGAAACATGTCGTCTCAGGTGAATTGCGCAGAAAACGATGCATCATTAAGAGGCGAGATATGACCTTTTTTATATTGTTGACTAAAAAGAAAATTCAAAAAAAGCAATATTTGCTCTGATGTGTTTCATTTACCTTTGATGACATCACCAATAAGATCAAACATCTTCCTCTTTTGCTCTGTGTTCTTTCATCTTATTGCCTTCTTTTCTGTTGGTTTGAGTTTGGGTATTTTACAGACTTTACTTTGAAAAGATCAGTCACCTGCTGCAGTTATGTCCATAATTATCCTTCCTCTTGTAACGGCATCTGAACGTTTTGCATCCAGTCTGGATCCAGAGGAGCAGAGCTGTGTCACCGGACCCCCTGCTGTATCTGGGTCCAAAAAATGCACAGCAGGGCCTATGTTTACAGCTTCACATCCACCCAGCCTTCATGCCTGGAAAACAAGAACTTCCATGTCAGAACTTTGTTATCACCCACAGCCTAAGGCTCGTGTTTCAAACTCAAGGTTCACAGGCCAATTCTGGCCTTGTTAACATTTTATCCGGCCCCAAATGTACGTTTCATGGATTCTCTTTCAGTAATCTCTGGGGTTTCCTTTTTTTTAACTGATTTGTTGGATTGTATGGTGGCCCCGAAGGGTCAACACAACAACAAAAGCCACAACACAACAACAAAAGCCACAGCACAACGGCAAAAGCCACAACACAACAACAAAAGTCACAACACAACAACAAAAGCCACAACACAACAACAAAAGCCACAACACAACAACAAAAGCCACAGCACAACGGCAAAAGCCACAACACAACAACAAAAGTCACAACACAACAACAAAAGCCACAACACAACAACAAATGCCACAACACAACAACAAACGCCACAACACAACGGCAAAAGCCACGACACAACAACAAAAGCCACAACACAACAACAAACGCCACAACACAACAACAAATGCCACAACACAACAACAAAAGTCACAACACAACAACAAAATCCACAACACAACAACAAATGCCACAACACAACAACAAAAGCCACAACACAACAACAAATGCCACAACACAGCAACAAAAGCCACAACACAACAACAAACGCCACAACACAACGGCAAAAGCCAAAACACATCAACAAAAGCCACAACACAATGGCAAAAGCCACAATACAACAACAAAAGCCACAACACAACAACAAAAGCCACAACACAACGGCAAAAGCCACAACACAACAACAAAAGCCACAACACAACAACAAAAGCCACAACACAACAACAAAAGCCACAACACAATGGCAAAAGCCACAATACAACAACAAATGCCACAGCACAACAACAAAAGCCACAACACAACAACAAAAGCCACAACACAACAACAAAAGCCACAACACAACAACAAAAGCCACAACACAACAACAAAAGCCACAACACAACAACAAAAGCCAAAACATAAAAGCTGATGATGTGGCTTTCAAAATGTAATGTTTTTTTTAATTCATGAAGAGTGTATGCTCTAAATGCTAAATAAATCATAATTTGTAAAAGATAATAACATAAATTGACCCTTGGTTTGGACAAAGTTCTGAATCTGTCCTAAAGTGAAGGCAGGACAATAATGTTTTTGTCTGTTTGTGTATAAACACAAAAACAGCTCTTMGCCTGTGGAGTTTACACATATTAAGCTAAAATTTGGTGTGGTAGTAGCTAAGACTCATCCTCATGTTTTACTCTGAATGCTAACAGATGCCTCCAGTAATCATCCTGTGTTTAGTTTATAAAGTTTGATGTTTTCTTCAAATAACTCAAACCTAAGCAGGTAGATTTAGTGGAAATGACTCAAGAGTTCTCGTCTTTCTTCCCGTTTCTTCTGTTTTTGAGCAGCAGAGTTAGATAATCTCTCCTGGATGTTCTTGTGGGCAGATTTTGATTAACAGATGAGGTTTGGACGTTTAGTGACTCTGGAGTGGCGTGCGTGTGTGAAACCTGTCACAGCTTCCCCCCATTTTTTTTATTTTTTTATTGTTCCTCCCACACACCAACTTGTCCTCCTCCGTCCTCACCTTGATTGACAGGATTATCAGGAGTCCACCCACCTGGAGCAGTTTGTGACCCGCTTCCTGCTGAAGGAGACGACCAATCAGCTTCAGTCGCTGCAGAGCTCGCTCGAGTGCGCCATGGAAACCACCGCCGAGCAGACCCGCCAGGAGAAGTGAGTCTCTTCGCTCTTAGACACACACACTTTGAAACTTGAACAAAATGTACACTGGACCCCGTAATAACACTCCTTCTAGTCCCACATTTTAGGCATGAATGAGGCGAGAGCTGGTTCTTACTCACYGCTTGTTAAAAACACCTGCTCTTTTGTGGAATCCAGCAGATTTTTGTGACTCATTATTTGTTTATTACGTTAATCCTGTTCTTATGAAGACAGRTGAAGAGCAGCTAATTACAGGGAGCTCGTTAAAAGAGGAGAACAACACAAAGAGGGATGACTTTAATGATTAGGGAACTAAAAGTAAAACCATGGATTTTCCAGGCCAGCACCAAGCATGAGGCCTTATTTATTTATTTATT